CTGTCACAAATTCAAGGTCATTGTCCTTATACTGTACATCTTTTACAGATTGTTTACTCTTATAATGTAAACCCTTAGTCTTATTTTGTTTTGTTTTGTTTTTGTTTTTTTGAGACAGGGTTTTGTCCCTTTCCTGGAACTCGTTTTGGAGACCAGGCTGGCCTCGAACTCACAGAGATCTGCCTGCCTCTGCCTCCCAAGTGCTGGGATTAAAGGCGTGCGCCACCACTGCCCAGCCTGTAAACCCTTAGTCTTTAAGTTATTTAGGTTGATAAGATTTACAGGTTATCAGTCACCCATGCTTGTCATATTTATAGTCATGTTAGTTAGGTTTTCTAGATATACAGAAATATATGTTGGATGGATAGGTAATCTTCAAACACTTCATAGACCTAGAGGATATGGCATTTAAATGTTCTAATAACTTAGAATTCTGTTGACGTGAGACATGATTGCTCCTGGCTGCATCAATCTACTCCCAAGAGGATATTGGGCATTGAAGACACTTTATATGGAGTTTGTCTTCTTCTTGGCAAAAATGGCCTATCGGGCAGAGAGCTGTGCTTGCCTCCACTGCTGACCGTAAGCACTCTGTCCAATGGGGACGAACTGGACAAAGGATAAGCAACTGCTGAACCTTGCCAAGACACAGTAAGACGATCTTTCAAAAGTCCTGCTTCTAAAAAACAGTCTGTCTGATATTCTAAGCCTAGAGCCAAAAAAACGGATGCCCCAGTGTTGCAGAGAAACATTGGGTGACTGTCTAGGCTGCCAGCTGTCTCCGTCATTTCTTGCAGATTTCAGAAGTTGCTCGCTTGCACTTCCTGTTTACTCAGGTAATATTGTTTTCCTTCTCAGGTCTCTGATGGGGTTGAAAACTAGATAGTTCCAGTCACAATCCTCTCATATCTTAGCTAAGAGCATATTAGGTAGTAGATTTAGATTCTTCTGCATAGGACAGCTGTTGGAGTAATCTCTGCAATTTGCCATTTACCTACGATCTGGACATTTGCTATATTTCTTACTTGGCGTTGTTCTTATTGGTTGTAGTTCCATTTTTGTTTATGTTATTTTCCTGTTTCTCCTGGATAATACTTGATAATTATTCTTATTGTATGTAGTTTGCGTTAGGTTTAGAACCTTCTTATTTAGACAAAAAGGATAAATGTAGTGGTATTTGCCCCACCCATGACCTTGGAGGCAGTGCTTCTTGCCTGTTTATGTGACCTCTTAAAAGGAAAGTTAGAGGGGTCATGGTTTCTTCTTGGCATGATCGGAGACTGGACAGCCAGGTGCATTAGCTTCCAGACGGATCAGAGGAAGATTTCAGCTGTTTACTTGGTTCTGTATTTCCCCAACTTATATCTTAATAAATTCCCTGATACCTCTTAAGCAGACTCCTGTGAATTTCTTTCTTTTCTTTTTCTTTTTTCTTTTTTTTTTCTTTTTTTTTTTTTTTTTTTTGGTTTTTCGAGACAGGGTTTCTTTGTGTAAGCTTTGCATCTTTCCTGATCTTGCTCTGTAGACCAGGATGGCCTTGAACTCACAGAGATACGCCTGCCTCTGCCTCCCGAGTGCTGGGATTAAAGGCGTGTGCCACCGCCGCCGCCGCCGCCGCCGCCGCCGCCGCCGCCGCCACCACCACCATCACCACCACCTGGTCTCCTGTGGATTTCTTGCCTAATCTGGCGCTTCTATGCAACCATCACCTGGTCAAGACGGCAACTTCCCTGTGCTCTTTCCAGTCAATGTTGTCACCAGGAAGGACTTCCCTTTCCTGGCTTCTAGCACCATCTGTCAGTTTGTCCTATTCCTAAATTGTGTGCGAGTACTCAAAAATGACAGCTTACACTTGCAGTCTCAACAGCCAGGAAGCCAAGGTAAGAGAGCTGCAGCCAGTGAGGCCAGCCAGAGCTATATAGTGAGATCCTGTCTGAAAAACACAAAATAGAGCTGGACAGCAGTGGCGCACTCATTTAGTCCTAGCACTTGGGAGGCAGAGGCAGGTGGATCTCTGTGAGTTGCAGGACAACCTGGTCTACAGAGTGAGTTCCAGGATACTCAGGGATGCACACAGAGAAACCCTTTCTTTAAAAACAAAAGCAAACAAACAAAAAAATAGAGGGCTGAAGACATGGCTGAGGGGTTAAGAGCACTGAATGCTCATCCAGAGAACTCAGTTCAATTCCCAGCACCTACATGGCTGCTCACAGCCATCTTGTAACTCCAGCTCCAGGTTGATCAAATGCCCTCTTCTGGTCTCTGTGGGCATTGCACACACATTGTGCACAGATATTTATGCAGACAAAAAACAAACACCCATAATTACTACTACTACTACTGATGATGATGATGATGATGATGATGATACTACTAATAAATATATTTTAAAACAGAGTGCTGGGGAAATGGCAGAGTTGGCAAAATGGTTGCCGTTTACTTGGGAAGCCCTGAGTCCTATCTCTAGCACTGGATAAAATAGGAGTATTGGGTTGGATGGTGGTACACACCTTTAATCCCAGCACTCAGGAGGCAGAGGCACGCAGATCTCTGTGAGTTCTAGTCCAGTCTGGTCTACAGAGTGAGTTCCAGGACAGCCAGGGCTACACAGAGAAACCATATCTCAAAACACAAAAGCAAACAAACAAAAAATACAGGGGTGATGGTCCATTCCTATAATCCAGACACTTGGGAGGGAGAGGCAGGAAGATTAGAAGCAAGTTCATGTTCAAGACCAGCCTGGACAACATATGAGTCCTTGTTGCAAAAACAGATGTGTGGTGATGTTTTGTTTGTGCTCTAACAAATAAAGCTTGCCTGGAGATCAGAGTGTGGAGCTAGCCACTAGAGGCCAGGCAGTGGTGGCGCATGCCTTTAATCCCAGCACCTGGGAAGAGGAAATAGGAAATGATATGGCTGGGTGGAGAGAGGAAGTGATAAGGCAGGGTGGAGACAGGAGCTTGACCCCTTTCAGTTTGAAGATTCCTAGAGGTAAGAAGTCTTTCTAGTGGCTGGCTGCTCTGCTTCTCTGATCTTTCCGTTTTTACCCTGATATCTGACTCTGGGATTTTATTATTAAGACCAATTAGAATTTGAACTACCAGGCAGTGGTGGTGCACGCCTTTAATCCTAGCACTCGGGAGGCAGAGCCAGGTGGATCTCTGTGTGTTCAAGGCCAGCCTGGGCTACAGAGTGAGTTCCAGGACAGGCACAAAGCTACACAGAGAAACCCTGTCTCAAAAAAACAAAAACAAAAACAAAAAAAAAAAATAGAATTTGAGCTACAGAGATGAGACAGGAAAAGGAAAATAAAAAGGTTATATATCATTGAAATCATAGAGCATGACACATTTTCACTGAAAATAATTTCTACGAGGTTCCTTTGTATTGCTGTACACATAGTAATTCTTTTTTTGGAAATGAGTCTTTCCTATGTTACTGGGGCTTGCCTTGAAGCCCTGGGCTCAAATGATCCTTTTGTCTTAGCCTGTTGAGCAGCTAGGATGACAGCTAGATGCCACCATGTCCCAAGAGTAATTTATTCTTTTCATTGATGCAAAGTATTCCTTTGTATAAATACATCATAGTTTGTCAATTTTCCTGGTTACTAGACTTTAAGTATTTTGGCTCTGGTTCTTGTAAATAAAGCTGTTATAATGGTACATTGTGTTTTGTGACAAGGTCTCATGTAGCCCAGACTGGCCTCAAACTTGCTCTACAACAGTGGTTCTCAACTTTCTAATGCTCTGATCCTTTTAATACCGTTGCTCATGTTGTGGTGACCTCCAACCACAAAATTAATTTTGTTGCTACTGCATAATTTTGCTATCGTTATGAATCGTAATGATCTCTGTTTCAGATAGTCTTGGGCAACCCCTATGTAGGGGTTGAGACTCACAGGTTGAGACCCACTTATCTACAGCCAAGGATAACTTTAAACTCCTGATCCTCCTCCCTGTACCTCCCAAGTACAAGAAGTGATGAGGATTAAAGCCACCAAACCCATGGCATTGCACACGTGAGCCAAGCATTCCACTGAGCTACATCCACAGCCCCTGAAAGTATTAGTCACTCCTCCACAAAAACCTTTGTTTTGCTGTTAGGACCTGAGTCCTGTACCACACGCACCTCATTCGCCTTTGCTAAGACAGGGTCTCACTCTTTAGTCCGGGATAAGTGGCCTGGAATGCCTTCAGCCTTCACAGTGTTGGGAATCACAAGTGGGCACCCACCACACCCAGCACCTTGCATCTCTTAAACGGACTCCTAATGATAAAGAGAATACCAAAAGGCTGAGTGGTTTTCCTAAGTCACGTGAAGAGCAATCGACAGTACCGAGAGTCTACCACCCTAGCACAGAGGTCAGCAGAAGGTTTCAACTTGGCCAGGCTGCTCAGTCCTCTCCAGTACCCCTAGGCCTTGCTCAACAGGCCAGAATCTGTGATCCCTTTGTTAGGAGGGAATTGAATTCCCTGGAGTTTCTGTCCCAGCCCTGACCAGTAACTCCAGTAACCAGAGCTGTGTGAGAAGAAAAGGCCAAGCCACTGGGGAAGCCACACCCCAATCAAAGGTGAGGTCTCAGGTGAGTCGTGCCAAGGGCTACTGCTCGGCTTGGCCCTGCTCTCCCAAGGACCCAGGGCACGTGCGGCCAGCACCACACGCCCACCGATGTTGCCCTGCTGAGTTTTTAACACACAGCGTTCTCTGCTCATCTCTCTCACATCCAACAGGTATCCCGGAGCTAGGACACCTCCCCTACTTCCATCCCGAGCCTCCAGATACGTGAGGTGCACCAGAGCTCTGGATGGGGCCTTTGAACTCCCTGCTTTCCCCTTTCAGCCCCAGATCCTCTCAGATTCCCACAAATGGGCTCCAGCCAGGAAGGGTGGGGCTACTCCTGGGAGCATCAGGAGGAACCAGCCACACACAGTCAGTGACAGTGTGGTGGCAGGAAGCAGCCTTTCACCTGTCTCTGTGGCTCCAGCCAACCCTAGTGGACCATGTCCCAACACCTGTTCCTCCCAGTGGTAATGATGGGTAAGTTTAGAGGACAGGGCTTCCGGAAGCCCGGATACGGGCACCCAGAGAGCCGGAAAGCAGGGTGTATGTCCTGCATCCTTTCTAGGCAGTGAGATGTCAAGAGAGGCAGAGTGTCAAGAGGGAGAGGGGGAGGGTGGCATCAGGAGCAAAGGGTGGCATCAGGAGCCTGAGGGACTGTGTGGAAGGGAAAGGGGGGCCCCGGGTGTCCTGGGGAGATGGAACACTGTAAACCTGGGTGGAGAGAGGGAGAGCCACAGCTAAGTGCATCGTCTCTCCAGCCTTTCCCTGCCTCCCTCTTGTCCTCCCAGTGGCCAGCCCCATCCCAGGAGCCTTCCAGGACTCAGGTGAGACTGCTAGACGGGAAAGCCAGGTGCAGCAGCCTGGTGCTGCGGGCAGGTCAAGGAGCTGAAGCAACTGCAATCGGCAATCGGCAATCGGGGAGGCAAAGGTGGAGTTAGAGCGGGATCGGCAATCGGGGAGGCAAAGGTGGAGTTAGAGCGGGAAGGTGCGGGCTGGGCAAGGTCGGGGTTGAAGTCACAAGCATCTTTCTCTACCTCCTATCTTCCAGCCGTCAGTCCTACCCAAGGAGAATTTGAAGACTTAGGTGAGAGAGGCATGAGTTGCCTTGGATCTTAGGGGTTTTTGTTTGGGTGGTTTGTTGGGTGTCCCATCCCCCAACACACACACACACACACACACACACACACACACACACACACACACGGGGAGGGGGGTCGTTATTTTGTTGTTTTTCGAGAAAGGGTTTCTCTGTAGCCCTGGCTGTCCTGGAACTCGCTCTGTAGTCCAGGCTGGCCTCAAACTCACCGAGATCCGCTTGCCTCTGCCTCCCGAGTGCTGGGACTAAAGGCGTGGGCCAAATCACTGCCCGGCTTTGTTTTTGGTTTTTGGGTTTTTTTTTTTGTTTGTTTGTTTGTTTTTTTTTTGAGATAGGTTTCTCTATATAGTCCTGGCTGTCCTGGAACTCACTCTGCAGACCAGGCTGGCTTCACACTCTCAGAGATCTGCCTGCCTCTGCCTCCTGAGTGCTGGGATTAAAAGCGCGATTCCTAAAGAAGTTTCAAGCTGGCTAGGTCTTGAGTGAATTGGAAGTGCCCAGGAACTCAGCCGGGGCTTGGTCATGTCCACTGAAGGAGTGGATAGAGGCTCAGGCTTTCTCCGGAGTTACCAGAGTCTCTGGAGTACGAGGGTCGGAGGGGGAGGGGTTTTGACTTCCAGGGTTCTCCATTCTAGACTGCGGGCGCCCTGAGCCCTCTTCCCGCATCGTGGGGGGCTCCGACGCACATCCGGGCACTTGGCCATGGCAGGTGAGCCTGCATCAAGGTGGGGCCCACATCTGCGGGGGCTCGCTCATCGCCCCTTCCTGGGTCCTCTCCGCTGCTCACTGTTTCGTGACGTGAGTACAGTCTTTGTCCAGCTCTCCTTCAAAGGCTAACCTCGGCCTGCAGCTCGACCTTCCCCGCTTATCCCACCTGCCCAGCGATGCCATACTGAATAGGAATAGGAATTGTCTTTCCAACGCCTCCATTGACATCCTATTTGACCCTTTCGACCTCCACTGTCTCAGCCCCAAATCTGGATCTGACTGCTCACTCCCTGGGTTCCTACTGACCCCATCTCCCGCCTCGGCTCTGAGTCTTCAGCCCCAAGGTGATCTGTTGACTCCGTGCACAGGAATGGGACCTTGGAGCCCGCGGACGAATGGTCAGTCCTGCTGGGCGTGCACTCCCAGGACGGACCCCTGGACGGCGCGCACTTGCGCTCGGTGGCCGCCATCCTGGTGCCGCACAACTACAGCGCAGTGGAACTGGGCGCCGACGTGGCTCTGCTGCGCCTGGCCTCGCCCGCCAGGCTGAGCCGCTGGGTGCGGCCGGTCTGCCTGCCTCGTGCCTCGCACCGCTTTGCTCACGGCACCGCCTGCTGGGCCACTGGCTGGGGAGACGTCCAGGAGGCTGGTGAGTGGGACGAGCGACCGCACCTGCACATGTGGGTCCCGGGGCGCCCTAAAAGCTGGGTCCTCCGGTGGGTGGCCCTTCAGAAGCCGGGCCTAAGGGGAGGGACCCAGGCGGAGCTTGGGAGACTTGGTTCTGATCCACGGAAAATTCCTAACCTCCCTCTATGTACCCTCCTCGGCCCCAGAGGTCGCCCCACCTCTGTCTGGCCTCACCTTTTCTCCCAGTTTTTTGTGTTTTTTCTTCCTTTTCTTTTCTCTTCTGGATTTAGGCCGGACTCGAGTTCCGTCCCAGCTCTGTCAGACAAAGCATTCCCCCTGCCCGTTTCCTCCTGTGGAAGGAGGAAAACAGCTCCCAGCGGTGTTGGGTGGTTCAGACAAGAAAACCCAAGAGAAGCCTATTGCCCAGCGGCTAGCACAGCCGTACTTAATGGGCTGTGGTTGCTTTCTGTAATAGCTCTTCAAGTACTGACCCTTAGCACCGCTGGTTCTTCCGTATTCCTCCCTTCCGTCCTCTCCATCCCTCCTCAGTCCATTCCCCCACTTCGCTGCACCCTACTCAGGACGTTCATTCACTCACTCTTCTGCTGAAGATGTCTCTATGTGCAGACCCTGTGTTAGGCAAGCACTGAAGAGATGCACCAGTGAACATTCTCAGAGATCCTGCTGGGAGGCAAACCATAAAATCAGTTCATAAGTAAATGCGGTGCCGGAAGGTGTCACGAGGCAGGCTGCTTTTCCATTTTCGGTCACCCCTATTCCTCGGTGTTACTTTGCCACTAGCAAACCCTAGCTGTTCCACGTCCGCTTTGGTCTGGGGACTTCGAGAGGAGCTTTGTGGAGGAGATGCCCCAGCTGCTGCTTGTAGGGGTACCATGCGGTCGGGAGGTGTCAGGGAAGAGTGATCATAGGTACCTGGGAAGTCTTTGTGGAAAGAGAGCATCCTGACATGGGCCTTCAGAGCAAGAGATTTCCGGGGAGAAGGTGTGGAGAGAGGATGTGCTAGTTGGAGGACGTCCCGAGGGCCCCAGAGAAAAGCTAGGATGCTAGACTGAGTGCCAGGGCAAAGCTCACAAGGATGCCGAGGCCGGATCTGGAAGATCTTAAGGTCAGTCTAAGAGACTGAGGGACAGAGTCGCTATCAACTCAGGGGTCCCCCCACCAACCCCAGACTCCCTTAGCTGAGCTTCAAGGACAGGCTCAGCCATAGGCTGGCCTCTTGGGATTCTGGGTGAGACAAAAAAGACCTCTTTGCCTGCCCTACCCCTCTCTGGCTCCTGAGACTTTTCGTCAGAAGTAGCAGCTGGGCTGAGTGTAGTGGCACACACCTTTAAGGCAGAGGCAGATGGATCTCTGTGAGTTCAGGGTCAGAATGTTCTACATAGCGAGTTCCAGAACAGCTAGAGTTGCATAGTGAGACCCTGTCTCCAAAAAAAAAAATAAGTAGCAGCTGGTAGTGGTTATATACGCCTGGAATCCCAGAAGGTCAGCTCCGGGGACCCCAGGTTGAGCCTGGAGCGTCACCCATTTATTGTTCTTGGTAAGACCTCAGAGCTGAGCTACAGAAACACTCTTCCTGGAAGGAGCAGGCCCAGCGTGAGTTAGGAAGCCGGCCAGTCAGGAGGGTGAGTTGCTCAGCCAGGCCCAGGCTTATGCCGCCTGAGCTGGTGAGTTGCAGTGGAACACAGCGATGTCCCAAGTAGCCTGGGAACTAACTGGGGAAGGTGAGTTAAGGCTCAGCGGTTATAAAGCGTTGCTGCTCAGACAGAGAACCCAGGGTTGCTTCCCAGCACTCACATGGTTGTTCACAACCAAGTGTAACCCAAGTGTGACTCCAGATACCTCCAGTTCCAGGAGGTCCTGTGCTCTTTTCTGACCTTTGTGGGTACCAGGCACACAAGTGATACAATCAGGCAAACCCCTCATAGACATAAAATAATCTTTTAAAAGGGGGAGAGGGGCCGGGCGGTAGTGGCGTGCATGCCTTTAATCCCAGCACTTGGGAGGCAGAGACAGGTGAATCTCTGAGTTCGAGGCCAGCCTGGTCTATAGAGTGAGTTTCAGGACAGCCAGGACTACACAGAGAAACTCTGTCTCAAAAATAAATAAATAAATAAATAAATAAATAAATAAATAAAGGGGGACAGGGATGACACCCAGATTCTTTTTGATGTTGTTTTGTTTTTTGAGACAGAGTTTCTCTGTGTAGCCCTGACTGTCCTGGAATCCGTTCTGTAGACCAGGCTGGACTCAAACTCAGATTTGCCTGCCTCTGCCTCCCGAGTGCTGGAGTTCAAGGCATGTGGTTTAACACTTATCCTAAAGTCCGGTTTCTGTGTTTGGCAAATGGATACAAGACTGTATCTAATATGCATGCTATCTTTGTGAAAAGCATGCTCTTTTTTTGGACAAATGCAGCATCGGTTGAGAGCCTAGTGATTTTGGCTCCTCCCTATGTACATTACTGTCTGGGGACCTTGTACCGTACACCTCCTGTACCATCACCTGTGACAGCTCTCACGGGCCGCTTGCAGGGGCCAAACCTAAGCAAAAGACTCAGAAGATATGAGCAGCAGATAATGTGATGAAAGTAGTGGCCCAGGTGCCACCTTTGTTTTCCCCATGGCAGGGTCTCACATCGCCCAAGAGGGCATCAAACGTGCTGTGTAGCTGAGGATGGCCTTGAGTGTCTGTTTCTCCACTTCCCCTTCCCAAGTTCTGGGATTGCAGCCACCACACCTGGGTTGTTCGGTTCCGGGGGTTCGGGGTTCGGTTAGCAAGCTATCTACCCGCTGAGACCCAGACCATCAACAGGGCCCCACTCCAGACCCAGGGGGGCGTGTTGATGGGACTATCCCGCAGGGGCAAAGCTGAGGCCTGAGGACATGAGTGTGTCATACCTGACTCACAGTATCTGTTCTCTGGTTCTGCCCTCAGACCCTCTGCCTTTCCCGTGGGTGCTACAGGAAGTGGAGCTAAGGCTGCTGGGAGAGGCCGCCTGTCAGTGTCTCTATAGCCGGCCTGGCCCTTTCAACCTGACTTTCCAGCTGTTGCCAGGGATGCTGTGTGCTGGCTATCCAGAGGGACGCAGGGACACCTGCCAGGTGAGGAGAGTTCTCCTAATCCAGAGAAAGCAGCTAAGGAGTAGACAAATATTTGAGCCTCGTCTTCAGTGGAATCTGGTCTGGGGAGTCTGGCTCCGGGGTATAGTATATGCCTACGACCTAGGAGGCTCTGAGTTTAATCTCTGGCAACAAAACAAACAAAAACCCAAAGACAGTCCATGGAGCCTGGCATAGCAGGGCACACTTGTAATCCCAGCACTTGGAAAGTACAGGCCAGAGGATCAGCTCAGGGCCTGCCTGAGCTACATGGAGGTCAGCCTAGGCTACATGAGACCCTGTCTCAGAACAAAACAAAAGGATCATCAGTGAGTAGGACTAACATAAAGATTATAGGTGAATGAAAGCCAGGATTCAACTCGCCCACCTGTTACCCATGGGAGCATAATGCAACAAAGCATCAGACCCTAGTTAGTTACTGTTCCACCTGCCCCTGTATCCCATGAGGCATGGGTTAGGGATGGGGAGAGAATGAAAAAGGACAGACGAACACGTGGCAAAACTGGGATTAGACTCCCACCATTGGGAACCTTGGGGTGTTTATTAGGCACAGCACAGGGGCAGGGTTAGCTAGTCTCAGGAGGAGGTCTAGACCAGCAGTCTCAGGCTGTGGACTCCCCAGGGGAAGCTGCAGTTGCTAGTCTTCGCACCCATTGATAACTGTTTTGGACTCCTGAGTTGAGCTTTGCCACCCATCTTGAGCATGGTCCATAGGAGGAAACGGCTTTGCCAATAACTCATGGGTCCAAGGCTTTGGAGTCCTTGACATGGCGTTGCTCATGTCAACAATACACATTCACTCAGGACTTCCCTCGCTCCGGGCTTTCTCCATCCTTCACAAATCCAGCACCACCAGCTCTGGGCTGTGTAGCTTTGCCCAGATGTTCACACTTCACAGCTGAAGTGACAATAATTGTGTTACCTATGTCAAAGTATTTTTACCATGATTAGTGACCTCACAAGAGCTAAAAAAGCATTAGCTATTATTTTTTTTCAAAGCCCAGCCTATAACATAGCACTTGTTGCTTAGTAGGTACCTATCAAATAGTTAATGAGAAAATGAATTAATTCTCCACAAAGGGAATTTTCCAGATGATTGGCTAGTGGCCAAAACAATATATTTGAAATAACTTTTTTGAGAAATGAAACCCAGCATTGATGGTAGTGGTGTGGATGGTTCTGAGCTTCTAGAACCCATAGACATAATCAGTTTCTTTCTTTTATTTTATTTATTTTGGTTTTTTTTTCGAGACAGGGTTTCTCTGTAGTTTTGGTACCTGTCCTGACCTGAAACTCACAGAGATCTGCCTGGCTCTGCCTCCCGAGTCCTGGGATTAAAGGCATGTGCCACCACCGCCTGGCCCAGTTTCGTTCTTTTTTTTTTAATTTAGATTTATTTTTTTTTTATGTGTATGAGTGTCTTGCCTACATGTATATATGTGTACTACATGGGTGTAGTGCCTGCAGAGGCCAGAGGAGGGCACAAGAACCCCTAGAACTGTAGTTTCAGATAGTTATCAATCAGCCAGCATGTGAGTGTTGGAAACCAAATCTGGGTCCTTCCCAAGAGCAACAAACGCTCTTCTAACCACTGACCCCTCTCTCCAGCTCTGGTCACTTGCCTTCCCTCACCCTGGATATCGTTCATTCACTTTTAGACAATTCCACACCTGTATACAATGTCCACTGGTCATATCCACCCTGAACTCCCCTCCTTCTCCCATCAGATGCCCCCAACACCCCTCCCACCCCCGACCCCCGCCTCCATTTTTGCATCTCGCTTGAGTCCCGTTAGCGCTGCCTGCTGGAGTGTTGGCTGGCTTCCTTAATCTGAGCATGTGCAGGTAAGCTGCAGTGAGTTTCTGAGGGCAGTGGTCATCTCATGACTGAAGACAGCATATCCCATTGCTCCTCCAGCTCCTAGGTTCTTCCAGCTCCGACTCTGCCCTGTTCCCTGGAGAACAGTCACAGGGTGTTGATACAGGTGTTCCACCTAGTGGTGAGCGCTCAGTGGCCATTTGTTCTCAGAGCTCTGCCAGTTACGGGTCTGTGCATTAACGGACAGACGCCCACTGCAGAGAGGAGCTTCCTGATCAAGGTTGAGAGCCGCGTGGACCTATGGATATGAACATAAATATTTAGAAGGCAGTTTGACAACGCGCATTCAGAAAAACTATAGGAGTAGCTTCCCCCACTAAGACCCATGACCCCATGATTTACAGTACCAGGGGTGGAATCCTCCCTGCAGAGCAGGCTTCCAAACCAATCAGAAAGCAGGTGGTCACCTCCATGACCTTCATACCACTAGTTCGTCAATGGACACATCTTGCTTGTCAGGTTGGTCTTGTAGGATTCAGTGTTCACCACTGGGAAATACTATTGATGACTTGAATTCTCCTTCCCTAGCCAGCAGGGAAGAAGTGCTCTGGTCAGTTTCAAGTTTATTCCTCTGTGTACTGCAACCCAAGTGTACAGTTGTCTACAGTAGAGTCTTGCCATCTATGGTGGGCAATCAAGATCAATAACAATACTCTGTGTTGTTTTGGGAGCCTCTGGGGCCTCCCTGGCCAACAACTCATAGGGAGGTGTTCCCCCTGACACTAAGACTTTCTTTTAATAACCTATGGCTTCTTGGGGAAGCTGTCCACAAATACAGTGTACTTGTGTTCAAACTCCTTTTAAAACTATATATATATATATATATATATATATATATATCAATTTATTTTTGACAGGGTCTCACTGTGTATTCTTGGCTGCCTAGAACACTCTTTTGTTGAACAAGCTGTTAATGATATTTTTACCCAAACTACTGGGTTTCCATAAATCTTTAGTTTTGGTTAACTTATCCAACTCTCCTCTCTCCTATCCACCCATCCCTATCCCAGTATCCACCCCCCTTTATATCATGTGTTCCGCCCCCGAGGCTTCTTCCCTTCCCCTCTCATGAGCCCCCTCTAGCTCCCTGACTGCTGCAGCCGCTATGCATTAAACACACAAAAATCTTGACACTTAGAGCTAAGATCTACAGATGAGAGAGAGTATGTGGCATTTATCTTTTCTGGGCTTGGATCACCTTACTTAATACAGTATTTTTCAGTTCCACCCACTTTCCTGTAAATTTCATTTTTTTTAACAGCTGAATAAAATTCTGTTGTGCGTAGTCACTGCATTTTCATAGTCACTAATCAGCTGAGGGACATCTAGGCTGATTTCATTTTCTAGCTACTGTGAACAGAGCAACAGTGAACATGTATGGGCAGGATTCTCTGTAAGAGAATCTAGCTTTGTGAGGAGCCTCCACACTGACCTGTATCACAGATGCTCGGATTTACACTCCTACCAATAATGGATTAACGTTTCCCTTCCCCGCATCCTCATCAGCATCTGTTGCCGTTTATTTTCATTTTTTTTTTTTTTTAAGATTTATTTATTTATTTGTTATGTATACAGCATGTATGACTGCAGGCCAGAAGAGGGCACCAGATCTCATTACAGATGGTTGTGAGCCACCATGTGGTTGCTGGGAGTTGAACTCAGGACCTCTGGAAGAGCAGGCAGTGCTCTTAACCACTAAGCCATCTCTCCAGCCCTATTTTCATTTTTTATATTTTGAAAATAGCCATTCTGGGCCTGGAGAGATGGTTCAATGGTTAAGAGCACTGGATGCTCTTCCAGAGGTTCTGAGTTCAAATCCCAGCAACCATGTGGTGGCTCACAGCTATCTATAATGAGATCTGATGCCCTCTTCTGGCCTGCAGGCATACATTTAGACAGAGCATTTGTAACTAAAAAAATACATAAATAAAAATTTTTAAAGCCCCTTTAAAAAAAAAAAAAAAGGAAGAGGAGTTGGGGATTTAGCTCTGTGGTAGAGTGCTTGCCTAGCAAGCGCAAGGCCCTGGGTTTGGTCGTCAGCTCCAAGAGGGGGGAGAGAGAGAGAGAGAGAGAGAGAGAGAGAGAGAGAGAGAGAGAGAGAGAGAAGGGAAAGAGAGAAAGAAAGAAGGAAAAAGGGAGGAAATAGCCATTCTAAGTGGGGTTAGGTGGAATCTCAAAGTAGTTTTTTATCTTATTAATTAAAACTTTATTGTAAAGAACTTGGGGAAAACCATCATACTCAGAGTATCCGGACCCGAAGTTATACATCTGAAAGAACCCCTCCCTATTCAGTTAGAACAGCCATTCTGAAACTACAGAGCTTCACTTTAGGTTTTACACTTTTAATATCAATTATGTTTTTATGCACTACTTTCATTTTTGTTCAGAGCTGAGAAATATTCCATTTTATCCGTGTACCAGGTTTTCATCCATTATGTGTAGGTGGACAGTTAGATTGGTCCGTTGCCTTGCTATAGTGAATACAGCAGCGATAACCATGAGACAGCAAATATCTCTATGGCAGAGTATGGCGTTCTCTGTGTACGTGCCCAGGATTGGCTTAGATTAGTTATATGGTAGTTCTGGTTTTGTTTTGTGTTCTTGAGGAACCTCCCAACTGGCTTCCATAATGGCCATAGTAATTTGTGCCTCCCACAGGCAGTGAATAAGGGCTCCTCTTTCTTCACATCTGCAACACTCAGTAGTTTTAATCTGCATTTCCCTGATGGTTAATGGTGCTGAACACTTTAGAAATGTTTAGTAGGTTTTTTGTGTGTCTTCTCTTGAGAACTCCCTGTTCAGTTCCATGGACCATTTTTTTATTGGGTTGCTTGATTTCTTTATGTTTAATTTCTTGAGTTCTTTGAATACCCCACACTGTAGTGTTCATTGAACTTCCTGAGCTTGGAAACATGGCTCAGCAAGTGCATGTCTCACTGTCCAGCTTGACAGCCTGAGTTCGATCCCCAGGACCCACATGGTGGAAGGAGAGAGAAACTGAGTCCTGAGAGTTGTTCTTTGACCTCGACATTCTGGCCATGGTATTTGAGTGTGCACACACACAGTAAATAAATAAATGTAATTTTAAAAACAGAAAGGCTGGACATTGTGGCACATGCCTGTAATCCCAGCACTTAGGAGGCAAGGGCAGGCAGAGATCTCTGAGTTCAAGATCAGACAGGGCTACATTGTCTCCAAAAAAAAGTTCCTTAGCTATGGAAAATGTTGCTTCTCTAGCTCGTTGGCTGCTAGTCACATGTGGCCACTGAATTCCTGAAATGTCTTGTTGAAAAGGAACAAAAGGAAATGTAAAGCTACACATGTGTTCCAGGCCTGTAATTCCATGTAACACATGGAAGACTGAGGCATGAGATCACAAATTCAGATCTCAGAAGCTAAGCAGGGGCCTGAAGGCCAGCCTGAAGTATATAGCAAGACCTTGCTAGGGGGCTGCAGGGGGCAAGGAAGGAAGACAGGTACTCAGCCAGTAAGGACTTACCCCAGAGCCTGGCAACCTGAGCCCTGTCCCTGGAACTGGAGGTGGAGGGATAGAGCAGGCCTCCAGCCATGCTCTGATTTCTGTGTGTGCTGTAGCATGCATGGCTCCTCCCAACACACATAATGTTGATTAAATAAATACATTTTAAGAAAAAGGAGCCTGTGAGATGGCTCAGAGGGGATAAGTATTTGTCACACAAGCGGCTTACGTTCAATTCCTAGGACCCACATAAAGGTGGAAAGAGAACTGATTACATATAGTTGTCCCCAACACACACACACACACACACACACGTTGAAATACTGGGGATAGTTCATTTGTTAGAGTGGTCAGCTAGCCCTAAATTTGCCCCGCAGCACCACAGAAGTGGAGAGCCAGGGTGCACGCCTATAATCCCAGAACTCATGAGGTGGTAGAAGCAGGAAAATCGTAAGTCAAGGCCAGTTTCAGCTACACAGTGAATCTGAGGCCAGCCTGGGCTTCATTTGACCTTATCTCAACTAAAACAAAATGGGGAGGGGGCGCTAGAGGGGCTGAGAAACCAAAACTGTATTTAAATTTAAATAATCAGGGCTGGAAAGTTGACTCTGCGGTTAAGAGCACTTGCTGCTCCTGGGAAGGACTCCCAGTACCCTTACAACCTCTGTAACTCTGTAACCCCATTCCAGGGGATCCAGCACCCTCTTCTCTTCTGACCTCCACAGGCACCAGACACACATGTGGTGCCCATACATACATGCAGGCAAAACAGTCATACGCATAAAACACTAAAACCAATTTTTTAAAAAGATTTATTTATTATGTATACAGTGTTCTGTCTGCATGTATGCCTGCAGGCCAGAAGAGGGCACCAGATCTCCATTACAGAGGGTTGTGAGCCACCATGTGGTTGCTGGGAATTGAACTCAGGTCCTCTGGAAGAGCAGTCAGTGCTCTTAACCTCTGAGCCATCTCTCCAGCCCCACCAAAACCAATCTTAAAAATATAGTTGCTCTGGTCTGTTAGCTACTATTCTGGGTAGCATAACTCTACAAAATGTTGAGCCGGGCTGGGCAGTGGTCTTGCACACACCTTTAATCCCAGCACTCGGGAGGCAGAGGAAGGCAGATCTCTGCGAGTTTGAGGCCAGCCTGGGCTACAAAGTGAGTTCCAGGACAGCCAGGGCTACACAGAGAAACCCTGTCTCAAAAAACAAAAACAAACAAACAAAAAAAAAGTTGAGCCTTTTTTTTTAAAACGTATTTATTTACTTACTTACTTATTTATTGTATGTGCATTGGTGTTTTTCCTGAATGTATGTCTGTGTGAGGATGTCAGATCCACTGTAACTAGACTTACAGACAGTTGTGAACTGCCATGTGGGTGCTGGGTATTGAACCTGGGTCCTCCAGAAGGGTAGACAATGCTCTTAACTGATGAGCCAGCTCTCCAGCCCATTTTAAACATTTTTTAAAATTTGTTTTATATGTATCAGTGTTTTGACTGCATGTGCACCATGTGCATGACTGGTGCCTGAGGAGGTCAGAAGAGGGCATCAGATTCCCTGGAACTGCAGTTACAGACGGTTGTGAGCCACCATGTGGGTGCTGGGAGTTGACCCTGGGTCCTCTGGGAAGAGCAGCCAGTGCTCTTAACCATCTCTCCAGCCCCAAGACTTCTTTGTGATACTTCTCAGGTCACCAAGATTCCTGAGCTAGGTTAGAGACACCTTAAGAGCAATGCCCCTTTCCCAGTTTCTGTGTCTGCTGATTTTAGGTCTTCCTCCTCATTTGATTTTGTATCCTCCCCCCCCCCTTTTTGAGACTCTATGTAGCCCTGGCTGTCCTGGAACTCACTCTGTAGACCAGGCTGGCCTAGAACTCACAGAGATCCTCCTGGCTCTGCCTCCTGAGTGCTGGGATTAAAGGTGTGTGTCACCACCACCCGGCTCCCTTCTTAATGAATTTGTTCATTTATTCACAGGCAGGATCTTACTTTTGCCTGGGGTGGTCTTCAACTCCTGGATTTAAGGGACCCTCAGCCTCTGCACTAGCGGGGACTGCAGACATAGGCACCATACCTGCTCTTGTTCCTCTTATACTGCCTAGCTCTAGCAGCTTCTTCCTCGGCTAGCATCTCTAATTTATTTATTTATTATTTATTTTGTGTGTGTGTGTGTGTGTGTGTGTGTGTGTTACATTCTATATGTCAAAGCATGTGTGTGGACATCAAATGACAGCTTGTGGGAATTAGTTCTCACCTTCCATCATGTGAGTCCTAGAAATTGAACTCAAGTGATCAGACTTAGCAACAAGTGCCTTCAGCCACTAGGCCACCTCCCTGGCCCATCTTTTTGTTTATTTGTTTGAAGACAGTCTCGTGTAGCTCAGGCTAGCCTAAACATAGCTATGTCCCTGAGTCTTGATCCTTTCACCTCCCAAGTGTTGGGACTATGGTATGTAGCACCGAGCTTGGCTTTGATTTCTTTCCTTTGTTTTTGTGATTGTGTGCATGTGTGCAGGGGTGTACATATGTGTGCAGGTGTGCAGGCAGAGGACAACCCTGGGTGTCATCTTTACAAATACAGTCCACCTCCTTTAAGACAGGGTCTCTCATTGGCCTCGAGATCACCAATTAGGCTAGACTGGCCGACCAGCAAGTGCAGAGATGCTCCTGTCTCCGCCTCCCTAGTAGCTCAGGTCACCACATTTTTATATGGGTCCTGGAGATGGAATTCAGTTCCATAGCTTACAAGGCAAGCATTTTCCCAGCTGAACAACCCCCACCAAGTCCTTGATTTACTTTTTAAAGAGGTGGCTGAGGGGTGGAGCCCAGCATTTGTGAGGCCCTGGGTTCAAGCCCAGCCCAAAACAAAACTTCAAGGGGTGTGACTTAGAAACCTTAGAAATCAGAGACAGCTTTGGGGTAAACTAATTACAAGAATCATTCAGCTCTGAATGAGACCGACAAGGTTTTCTTGAAAGATCATTGATGCATTGTCTGGATGCTCTTGGCTTTGGCTACTCAGTGGTTCTGCTTTTCCAGGCTTTCTTCTGATTAGGACTGTAGATAAAACTGAGGTAAAGGTAGCTAAGAAAGGTTTCTAGAAGATGGATGTATGTTAGGTCAAAATGGGGTATAGATTCTTGAACTGATCTCTGACTTGAGTCATCTATCATTAGGGTGACTCTGGGGGACCGCTGGTCTGTGAGGATGGCGGCCGCTGGTTCCTGGCGGGAATCACCAGCTTTGGCTTTGGCTGTGGACGGAGGAACCGCCCTGGGGTGTTCACTGCAGTGGCTCCCTATGAGTCGTGGATACGGGAACACGTGATGGGCTCAGAGCCTGGGCCTGCCTTTCCCAGCCAGCTTCAGAAGCCCCAGTCAGGACCTTGGGAGTCCAGAGAAGAAAACTGTACCTTTGCCCAACCAGGTGAAGGGCAGATGCACTGAACCTGAGCTGGATTGGGTTGGAGGCTGCAGGAATAAGGATTTCTGCAGACCCCCTGACCCAGGCCTCTCATCTCTCAGAGTGCGGGAAGACTTCGCAGCCAGGGACCTGGCCCTGGGAGGCCCAGGTGATGGTGCCAGGCTCCAGACCCTGCTATGGAGCGCTGGTGTCTGACAGCTGGGTCTTGGCACCCGCCAGCTGCTTCCTGGAGTGAGTGAGAATCCACCTATCAGGCACACTTGCCTCTTCCCACATCAGTCTGAGAGACTAGCTCAGCCCTTCCTCTGGGGTGGGAGTTGTACCTCAGTCTGTAGTGAGGGGGTCCCCGCTGGAGAGTATAGAACCCAGCACAAAGCAAGGGAGTCTAGCGAGGGTGGGTAGGAGGCTCGGTCCAAAACGCGAGAACCCGAATCGCATTAGTAGGGGGCGGAGAGGGGGGGCGTTTTCCAGCGTTGGCCGAAGCATCCCAACCCGGAGATGCGGTCTACGCCTGGGAAGCTAGGTTTGCAGCGTGTGTGCTAGACGCGCACGCGTCCTCAGCTCCCCCATCCAGCAGCCCCCGCACCTCTGACAGCCCACCCCGCGACCTTGAGGCCTGGCGGGTGCTGCTGCCCTCGCATCCGGAGGAGGAGAGGGTGGCGCGCCTCGTGCGGCACAGGAACGCTTCCAGGGACTCGGCCTCGGACCTGGCGCTGCTGCAGCTGAGGACGCGCGTGAACCTGACCGCCGCCCCGAGTGCCGTGTGCCTGCCCCATCCCGAACACTTCTTCCTGCCCGGGAGCCGCTGCCACCTGGCTCGCTGGGGCCGCGGGGGTGCGCGGGGCCGCGCGGGGACACGGACTGGGGGGTGGTGGGGGGACGGGACCGGGAGCACACGGCCGAGGCCCCCGCTCGCCGCTCTTTCTCCCAGAACCCGCCCCCGGCTCCAGCGCGCAGCTGGAGGCGCAGCTGTTGAACAGCTGGTGGTGTCACTGCCTGTACGGCCGCCAGGGGGAGTCAGTGCCGCCGCCAGGAGAGCCGCCGCACCTGCTTTGCCCCGCCTACCAGGAGGAGGAAGAGGCGGGCCGATGCTGGGTGAGCGGCAGGAACTCGCTGCGAAGATCCGGTCCTGGCCGGGGCTCAGCTGGAGGCGGGAGGAGCTAGGGGCGGGGGCGGGGCGCTCTGGACCTCGTGCTTGTGGCGCCAAAACTCGACTGTTCCTTGTTTTGTTTTGATTCTGTGTAGCCCTGGCTGTCTTGGAACGCACTCTGTGGACCAGGCTGGCCTCGAACTCAGAGACATGTCTAGGCATCCGCCACCACGCCCGGCTTATTCCTTTTAAAGGCATGCGTGTTGGAGATCCAAGCCTGGGACTTCTTTAGTGGCTGAGCCTCCTCCTCAGCCCGAGTTTGGCAATTTTAATTTTAAGAGAGGCCTGAAGCCGTCGTTGGTGGCGCACACCTTTGAGTTCCAGGGCAGCCAGGGCTACACAGAGAAACCCCGTCTCCAAAAAGAGGAGGGAGGAATGAGAAGGTGTTGGAGATTGTTAAGTGAGGGCTAGATTTTTGTGCAAATTAGTGTTGGGACTTGGCTGGAAGGGTGTTTGATGAGTCCACGAAAGGAGAGCCAGGATCCCAGGAAAGGCTAAGGGTCTCTACACACCTGCAGCCTCCCCTCACGCTAGTGATAATACTGTTTTGCGACAGAGCGATTCCGGTTGGAGCCTTCTGTGTCGTGAGGAGGGGACGTGGTTCCTGGCTGGATACAGAACCCTCTCAAGTGGATGTCTCCGTCCCCGAGCCTTCTCCCCACTGCAGACTCATGGCCCATGGATCAGTCATGTGACTCAGGGAGCTTACCTGGAGGACCAGTTAACCTGGGGCTGGGGCCCTGAGGGGGAGGAGACTGAGAACCAGATCTGTCCCCCACACACCGAGCACGGTGGTGAGCAGGGGTCGTTAGGAGTTCCTGGGAGTACTTAGATCATGGCGAGGCTTCCGGGAGGCAGCTTTGGGACTCCCGCTGAGATGGCCACCTCTTCTCTCTAGCCTGTGGCCTAAGGCCAAAGGCCACTCCAGCTGGTGTGTTGTGGCCCTGGCTGACAGAGGTACATGTGACTGGTCATCGAGTCTGCACCGGGATTCTGGTTGCCCCAGGCTGGGTCCTAGCAGCCACACACTGTATTCTCAGGTGGGTCTCTCCTAGCCACAGGCAACGTGAGAAAAATTGGGTGATAAATCAAGGCCTCTTTCAGCAGGAGGACATTGTCACTTCCGCGTTTGTGTAGTCCAGGGGAAGCACTGTGGGGTGTTTTTGCTGGGATGATTTGGTTTGGTTGGCTTTCGGGGGGGGGGGGGGGGCGGTAAGATCTTTTGAGACAGCAGAGAAATCACAAAGCGATTGGTGGATGGTCCTAGAGACCCGTTCTGCCCTTGTCTTCTGCTGGGAAGGACTTGACGCGCGTTTCCTGTTCCCACAGGCTGGGCTCCACGACAGTACCTTCCATTGAAGTGTATCTGGGCCAGGCAGGGGCCAGCTCCCTCCCGCAGGGCCAGCAGGTATCCCGCTCTGTCATCAGCATCCGCCTGCCCAGGCACTTAGGACTTAGACCCCCCCTGGCCCTCCTGGAGCTGAACTCTCGGGTGGAGCCTTCTCCATCGGTTCTGCCCATCTGCCTACACCCAGGGGGGATTCCCCCAGGGGCCAGCTGCTGGGTGCTGGGCTGGAAGGAGCCCCAGGACAGAGGTGAGAGCCCTTGGGTCATGGGATGAGGAGTGACTTCAGACCAGAACCCTGTACAGCTGTCTCTTCTCTCTAGTTCCTGTAGCTGCTGCCGTCTCCATCTTGACCCCACGACTCTGTCGCTGCCTCTATCAGGGCGTTCTGACGCCCGGAACCTTCTGTGTCCTTTATGCTGAGGGGCAGGAAGATAGATGTGAGGTACAGGGGCCTAGGCATCTTGGACCAGGGAGGGGAAAGGTAGTTCTGGGCGACCAGACCCTATTCAGATTGGAATGTCTTAGTACTGGGCTCCAGATGGGAACAAGGGATATTTCTGGCCTAACCTTAGAGAGACCAGGAACCAGGATACCTAAGGATGTAGACGTGCAGCGCTTTGGGACTGGACCCTAGGGAAGTTAGGAGAACCAGATACAAGGGTAACAGACCCATTTGGCCTTGGCTCCAACTTTGCAGGTGACCTCAGCACCCCCGCTCCTGTGCCAGACGGAGGGAGGCCCCTGGGTTCTCATGGGCATGGCTGTTCGAGGTAGCCAAGAGCTGTTTGCAGCCATTGATCCTGAAGCTGCCTGGATATCGCAAACAGTGGGAGAAGCCCATTTTCTTCATCCTAGCGGCTCCCCCTACTGGCCTCCTGAAGACAGTGACCTCTGCCCCCAAGACTTGGCAGGAACTGCCAGCTCCCATAAGGTTGCTGCTGCCCTGCTTCTGCTTCTCCTGGCTCCGCAGATCCAGGGCTGAGTCTGGTTCCTCTTCACACCACCCATCAGGGCTGGAATGCGGCCCAACCGGCCAGCTCCCAGGCCTGGAGAGGGCCTCTTCCACCTATCAGCTTTCAGATAATTGGACCTCGGTGCTGGCTACTTCGGGACCTAAGAATCCTTGGGGGTGGGGGAGGAAGAGATAATAAAGATGTAAATACAGACACGTGGCCTTGTAGCATCTCTTACGTGGCTGGGGAACACCTCAGAGCTAAGGGGAGAGCCCCAAGGACAGGGCTCCTCCCTCTTGGTGGTGAGTCAGGCCTTGGGATCCCAGGAAATACGTCCCCTATAACGTGGCAGCTGGTTCCCTCATTCCTGCCTCTGGGCGGGGGAGGCTAGGTGGACAGCTGGCTGTGTGTCACCTCTCCATTGGAATTAGTGTCCCCAGCACCTGCAGCATACCTCAGCGCTGGCTCTGCACCCACTAGACTAGGAAGCCTTGGGATGGCAAAGCCAGCCCTAAATACACACCCCAATGTATACTGTACATTCCTAGAGTCTCTAGCATGAATGCGCGCACACACATACATGTGAACCTCGGCACCCTTCAAGAAACTCCCACTTGACCATCCTAACTAATGCCCCAGGATTTGGGCCACATGCGTGCAAATCCCACCTCGGTCCCCACCACTCCCCTGCTAGTTCAGTCCACACCAGCTGCTAACTGGCAAGGCGTGACAATCGGTGTCTGAAAAATAAGTTCACCAAGTGCTCCCTGTCAAGTGGGAAACACATGGCTACTCCTTGACTAGGGATCAAGAAATGGTCAGAGAGGAAATGAGGTCTGAGTACATGCAGACAGCAAACAGACCTGAGGGAAGGGTGGAAGTCTTCAGGGGTAAGCAGAGGCTCACTTCTGAAGCTGGGGTCGCAGTCTGTTACAGGCAGGGAGCAGGGAAGGGAGACTAGAAGTCAGCAGAAGGTGGTACTGGGCGGCTGAGAAGGATAGAGGTTGCTGAGGCCTTCTTCATTTCTAGATACCACAGTGACTTGTTCAGGCCCTCAGGAAGAGCATGCTCCACCTGCTCTCTGTTACCAAGCCAGCTACCCTCACATGGATCATGCCTCATTGGTTCCCAAACACACCCTGACTCCCAAAGTCTTATCCCTCCCTCCCTCCGAAGTCCACCTCTCCCCTTCACCCCCTCCAGGAATTCTCTGGCCACCGGGCTGGGCTGGAGTCCAGATGCCCAGGCTTCTAGGAAGAGAGTAGAGGATGTAAGGGTCTATTTTTCCTCACGCTTAAGCCGAAGTCACGTCCCCATGCCACACTGGCAGCAGGCACGCGGGCGGCCTCTCCCTGAACTCTTCCCGTGGGCATGTGCATGTGTGTATACATACACACACACACACACACACACACACACACACACACACACACACACACATGCACGCACGCACGCACGCACGCACCCATACAAGCCAGTTCTGAGCCTACCGCTCTCCGCCTTGATTTTGAGACAGGGTCCCACTGAACCTGGAGCTTGCTATTTCATCCAGACTGGCTGGCTAGCAACGCCCCAGGATCTGCTGTCTCCACTTTCTCCCACCCAGTGCTGTACCGGGCTTACAAACTTGAGCCACCACACCTAGCTTTTACAGAGGGGCTGAGGATCTGAACTCAGGCCTTGCGCTTGCCCAGCCAGTGTCTTAGCCACCGGGCCATCTGCCCAGCCCCTTGCCCTGAACTTCTACCCGGCACCCTGCACTACAGATGTTCTGCTTTACTACATCACAGCTTTGTCTTTTTTTTTTTTTTTTTTTTTGAGGGAGGGGGTTCTCTATGTAGCCCTAGCTGTTCTAGAACTTGCTATGTAGTCCAGGCTGGCCACAAATCATAGAGATCCCCCTGCCTTTGGTGGGGGGACAGGACGGGACGATTTCAAGGCATGTGCCACCTCGCCCAGCCATGCTTTGCCAGTTCTGTTTCTTTAGCATCTTCCCATACTCTCTTGGGGTTTGGTTCTCAGCGTTCTTCCTCCAGGATCGCTCCAGCTACTGTGCAATTAAAAGCCACCCCCCGACACTCATTTTGTCTGTCACAGCTCCTGGTTTGAAATTAATTCAATAATTTGCCTTTTATTATTTGATTCAAGTCTGACATCCCTCCTCCATCATAATCTCAAGGAGGTCACGGATGGTATAGTTGGCCACTTGTGCCTGGGGCCATAGTAGGTACTCAGCAAATACTTGTTGGATGATTGTCCACGGCCAGACATACTCAACACCTGCAAGGAGACTGCAAGCCTCAGAGCGAGCCTGCCAGGAGTGGCCCCGGCCTGGGGCGTCCCCCATGTCCTAGTCTCAGACACCTGGCCTGAGGAAGGAGGGAAGAAGTGAGCAGTGGCCCTACAATAATCAAGTCTGGGCCAGGCTGCTGAGTGAGGGGTGGAGGTGGGGGTGAGGGTGGGGGTACTAACCGAGGACCAGGAAGACCTGGGACGGTTGCCTGGCCCTCAGGGTTTCCAGCCCTGCCTTAGACTGCTTTCTGACTGGCCAGGGTCAGTTTTCCTCTTACCAAAACCACCCCCACTACCCAAGGAGCCTGAAAGGACTACAGAGGTCAGAAGCAGGAAAAAAAAAAAAAAAAAAAAATCCCACTGCTTTCAGCCAGGAGGGCGTGGCTGAGGGAGGAGCCCACAGGTAGGTGCTTCTGCCGAGGTGCCTGGAGAGGTCTGTGTGGTGGCCAGGTTGTAAGGTGGAATAGGTCCACACTGGTCACCGCAGAGAGACTAAAGGCGTGTCTTCACCCGCTGTGGCCATTTCCTGCCAAGAACCCCGCCGTTCACTGGCTTCACCTTCCCCGTCGGAGATCCTGGGATTCCTCACTTCTGAGCCCACATCTAAATCCTGCCTTTCAAAACCAGCCTTCCTTCCTCCTCTACCAACAGTCTCCCCCGGGGGCCCTCGTCCTGGGCCATGGCCCTAAGGGTGGGCCTGGGACCTGGGCAGCTGGAAGCTGTGGCCATTCTGCTTCTTATCGGATTGCTCCAGTCAAGAGTGGGTAAGTGTGGATCAGCGGGGAGGGGGGTCGGAGAGAGGGCAGGGGCGCGGGGCGCGAGCCGGCAGAGAGAACTCCTCCCGGATTCCTGAGTCTGTGTCCCTACCAGTTAGCCGTCTTCTCCTGTCGGCCCCCTGAGCCAGGAGTTGCCCTCTGGGCAAGTGGTGGGTCTTAGGGGTCTGCCACTCAGGCCTCCCTGCTTACCTCCTCCCTCTTTCTTTCCCTCCAGGAGCTGACGGGGCTGAAGGTGAGGCTTTCTGGGGAACTGGGAGAAGGGAAGTGAGGGTACACCAGTTCGGGGTCCCCTGGTGGTTTTAGGGGCTCTTGTCACTTGCTCACCTAGTCACACTAAGTGTCCCAACAGCTCTGTGAGTATGGAATCATGGCTCTTGTTTTATGAGGAACCTGAGGTGAAGAGAAGCAATGAGTTGTCCAAGGGCATAGTCGAAGTCTGACTCTCCGTGTGTGGGTATCGGAGGTGGTTCTGAGGGAAACTACACAGACCAGCTCCTAGGCAGACTGGTTTTCAGTCGGAGCTTAACTGTTTTGTGGCCTTGTCTTCTTATCTTTCCAAGCTCCAGTTTCTTTGCCCTAAAAGCTGTCAGCTCTGTTCTAGGGCTGGAGTGAGGATTCCCATAGACTGGGAAGTGAAAGCCCCTTGGGCCCAGACATGCCCAGCAGGCTAAGTAGTAGCCATTGTCATGATTATGAGGGAATGGAGTCTGGGTGGCTGTTTTCTCTGCTTGAGGAAGACGTGAAAGGCCGTTTTCACCCCAGTCCCCTGCTAGCTCGGTGGAGGCTGGGCCACATCACAGACTATCCAATTGTTTCAATGTTAAACCACGTCCATACCTCTGTGTGTTCTGTGTGGGGACAGGGTGGAAAGAGGGGTGTCCCTAGGCAAGGCACAGATTGATACAGATGAAACAGTCATAGGCATGAGAATAGTTGTCAGCCTGGACAGTGGGCAGAGAGGGCCCTGGAAGCTGAGAACACCACCTGTGACTTAGGAAGGCTCTCCAACCTAGCAGAGAGAGGGTGGGAAAGGCATTCATAGAGTGACTGGTATGAACAAAGGTCCAGAGGTCAGTAGTGCATGGCCCAGTGTATGTGACAGGAGGTGTCTAGGGCAATAGTCAGAGGACAGTGTCCCGTGCATGTGGAACGAATCTTTTTATTTTGCCTGTATGGATGTGCGTGTGTCACATGAGTGTCTGGTGCCTTTGGAGGTCAGAGGTATCAGATCCCCGGGAACTAGAATTTAGGAGCGTTGTGAGCTGCCATGTGGGTGCTGGAAATCAAACCTAGGCCTCTGCAAGAGTAACAAGTGCTCTTAACAGCTGAGCCATCTCTCCAGCCCCTGGAATGTATCTTAAGGTCAGTTGGAGCCATGGAAGAGCTTAGCAAGACCATGACTTGGTCAAACTTGTGGTTTATAAAGATATTCAGATCTGTAAAGGGTAGACTGAATAGAAAGCAAGATGGCTTGGGAGGAAGGGGCCGCCATGATGCTTGAGTAGACAGTACCCGGCAGTGAACTTCTCACAGCTGTTGAGCCATAGGGTGGGAAGGCAGCTCGATATGAATGCACTTCCCAGGCTCTGATCATGTGTGGGGGTGGCGGGGGCACGGGGGGGGGGGGGGGGCGTGCACAGAAAGGCCGGCCCTCACCTTCCCTTCTTCCCTGGACAGCCCCGTGTGGTGCAGTCATGCAGCCACGCATCACAGGCGGTAGTAATGCCAAGCCTGGCCAGTGGCCCTGGCAGGTCAGCCTCACCTACGATGGCGTCCATGTGTGTGGAGGGTCACTGGTGTCCAACCAGTGGGTGGTGTCAGCTGCTCACTGCTTCCCCAGGTACCAACCGGGGGAGGGTCAGAGGGAGGGTCAAAAGTGGGTTGGAAACAGCATTTGGGTGACAGGCCTGAAATCCCAGTACTTGGGAGGTGGAAACAGGATCAGAAGTTCAAGGTCATCCACAGCTACTGCATAGTCAATTCAAGGCCAGCTTGACCCTGTTTACATTGGACCCTGGCTCAAAAAAAAAAAAAAAAAAAAAAAAAAAAGGAAGGAAGGTAGAGAAAAAAAAAGCATGCCATGGGTCAGTCCAGTCCAGACCATAGGTCAGACTAGTTCCTGGTGTGGGATTAAGAGTATCAGTAGT